TTATTCATTAGAAAATTGGTACTTATTTTGGCTAAAAATGGATAGTTCGATATTAAAATAACTATTTTTTCATTTTTTAAAAGAAAATTTTAAAATTATGGTATTTTTGATAATTTTGTCTATTATATATACAACTCTATAAAATTTGGGGCATGTGCTTCATTTGATTTTATTACAAGGATTTACGTTTATGAGTAGTATATATACACTATCATAACACTAGTACACATTAGTTTACCCACGCATTCATAGACGTGGAACACATTTTATATTTTACCATTTCGAGACATATCCAGAAACCACAAGAAAGCTTCTCCCATGGCGAATTCAAGCTCTTCTCTCCCTCCTCTCTGTGAAAAGATCTCGTACAAAAGCTATGTTCTAAGAGCTGTTGATCTCACGATTATTGGCCTTTTCTTTTCTCTTCTCGTGTACCGAATCCTACATATGAACCAAAACGACACCGTTTGGGTCGTGGCTTTCCTTTGTGAATCCTTTTTTTCTTTCGTATGGTTGCTTATTACTTCCATAAAATGGAGTCCTGCTGATTATAAATCCTATCCAGACAGACTTGATAAAAGGTATGTCGTATACAATTATATCAATCACAAACAATAAAACCAATGTTCTTTTTTAGATTTTATATAATCCTAACTAATTGGCCGAGCTTTGCAGCCTAAGCTGAATAGTTTGTACTAAATATATTGTCTCTGACTTGTAGACAACAACTAAAAATTTCTAACTTACTGCTACATAACTCTTAGTTTACTTCGGACAATATTATTCCTTTGTATATTTTTTTTTCTTTCTATGATTAAAATTGTGTAGTAAACATTTTGAAAACAATCCTTCAATTATAACTTGTTTAGTTTTTTTTTTAAAAAAAAATTTGAAAATTAACTTGTTTAGTTATTATTGATTTCAGGGCTCATGACCTTCCTTCGGTAGATATGTTTGTGACCACGGCGGATCCGGTCAGGGAGCCGCCGATTATCGTTGTGAACACCGTGCTTTCTCTTTTAGCTGTGAACTATCCCGCGAACAAACTAGCATGTTATGTGTCGGACGATGGATGCTCACCTCTCACTTACTTCTCTCTCAAAGAAGCTTCAAAGTTCGCTAAGATTTGGGTTCCTTTTTGCAAGAAATACAACGTTAAAGTTAGAGCTCCTTTTAGATATTTCTTAAACCCTGTGACCGCAACAGAGGATCCTGAGTTTGCTATAGAATGGGAAATGACCAAGGTAAAGAAAGGGGTTTGATTGTCTTCTTTGTCATTTGAGTATTTGTCTAGTATATTGAAAATTTGTTTTATTACGTCTACATTTTTAAAAAGAAGACAAGAACTTAACGTTTTAATTAAAACATCATTTGGAAACGCAAATGCAAAGGTGAACTTAAATAAACCTTTTGTCTTTCGATTTTGCGTTTACAAATTCTTCAAATAATGTTTGCAAAATATATATTGATTTTTTACAACGTCAAATTTAACTAATAAACACAAATACATTTTTGAGTTTGAATTAATTGAGACCATTATCAAGGTTTGTTCTTAGTCTTTTTTTGTTTGTTATGGAATTTTCTTTTCTTGAAATTGTCGTTTTCTTCTGTATTAATACATAGAGGGAGTACGATAAGTTAACTCAGAAAGTGGAAGATGCCGAAGATTCCCATTGGTTGAATGCTGACGACGATTTTGAAGCTTTCTCAAACACAAAACCAAATGATCATTCAACTATAGTTAAGGTATTTCTATTTTTCTACAATACTCTAATAAAGTAAATGACAAATAATTTATGCGTCTAATAATAGAGTATTTTTCTACAATACTCTAACTATAGTTATGCACACAACAAAAAGGGTCAATTATAAATGATATGAAATCTTGTTATACATAATATTATGTGTATGTGAAGGTGATATGGGAGAACAAGGGAGGTGTTGGAGACGAGAAAGAGGTCCCTCATCTTGTATACATTTCAAGAGAGAAAAGACCAAATTACCTTCATCATTACAAAGCTGGAGCCATGAACTTTCTGGTTAGTGATTTTTCTCACACATCTCTCTTTTTTATTCATTCTTAGTTCAAAGAAAGAGCATAACTTGTGTTAGTCCGATTAATGAAATTACTATGCATTTTGATAAAATATGATTTAGCTTTCGTCTCTCGGTGTTAGTGTCCGCGGTTAGAACCAAACTAAACCAGCCCATTATTTATATGATTCCGTATGTTTACAAGAGAATTTATGACTGCATATACAGATTTATTGTCTTTTCAAGGGAAGGTATAAAGTAGCGAAAGGAGAAGATGACACCTACTTCTCTTATTGCTCACTATCATTCACTAGAGTGAAATTTAATGTGCCCAACTAAATATTGTACATTGTTCCATGTGATATGGCTGCAATCATTTTTAACATTTAATTTTTTGTATGTGACATTCCTAATTAATACTAGTTGAAATGAAGGGCAGAAAGGTTAATCATGGACAATCTAATTATGTGTTACTTAAGCATGCATGTATATATCTTCGTGTTTTTGTTATAACAATGAAAGTTTAATGGGTAATATGAACAGGTTAGAGTGTCAGGGTTAATGACAAATGCACCATACATGTTAAACGTAGACTGTGACATGTATGCCAATGAAGCGGATGTGGTGCGACAAGCAATGTGTATATTTCTGCAAGAATCAATGAATCAAAACCATTGTGCTTTTGTCCAATTCCCTCAAGATTTCTATGATTCTAACGCCGATGAACTCACCGTCTTACAATCAGTACGATAATTTCTCAACCTTGTAAAA